CTCGTGAGTAGCAAAATTCCAAAATATTTTTTTTAAAAAGACAAACGGATATGCAATGCTTATTTCCAAATTAGGCAACCTAGTCTATACTTGTTTGCTGTGCGCATAACATAGTAATTTTAGGCTAATAAATGGAACAAGAACACATAATGTTTTCAAAAACGGATATCACGGTTAGTAGAGGCCGATCTTCGGATCGGGCGAGAAGGGGTGCTCATAGCTGACCTTCCCCAATCGTACCCTAGCTCCCGAGCCGAGGCAACTCTGGTGATGACGGACATGTGGCCTTCGGCACCGAGTCAGGGTTTCCTAAATTCCCCCATAAAAAATATTTAGGTGGCGACTCTCTATCTGGGAAAGCAGTCCATGTTTGGCACTTCTTTTTCTAAAAATCTGTTTTCTCAAAACGATTTGCCAGATTTGGACTTTTTGGTTCAGATTAAGAACCGTGACACAAATCGAGTCCGAACTATAGTGCGGGGTCCCTCGCGGACGTGCTACAGTATGCTTATGTGAAAAACCTGAATATGGAAATGATTACGAACAAGTATATGAATCTGTTTTGATATGAATCTGATTTCTAACTCTGTGATGGACATCATTCATTAAACCCCTTTACTCTGTTATTATTCACTGGGTTTTAGCTCACTGTTTATATTATGTATGTAGGTGAGCAAGCTGGTGATTAGGCCCAGAATTGACGGCCTATGCCGTGGTTTTGTCAGCCAACCCTTGCGCCTCCCGAGGAGGTTCCGCCTGGAGTCAAGTCTCATGGCTGTTTTGTGTTCATGCTGGTCTTGTGAATGTTTTGTAAAGTCAGGCCTTGGGAAGTACACTTTGTAAATATTGAAGTATTTTGACTGGTATGTTATGTATATAAATAAGTTTTGAAATGTTCTGTCCCATGTACATTATCACAGCTCATTAGACCTTATTTATGTTATGTGTATTGCTTCCGCAGCCCCTTACTATTTGTTAATGTATTTAGAGGCCTTGGGTAATCCACGGATTACTGGCCGGTTACGATGCTAAACCTACAGGGGCGGGTTTGGGTTGTGACATCTGCCACAGACGTACATGCACGCTTGAGCGCAAGAAGTCTCGCTCAAGCGAAGAAGTAATTTCACCAAGCTCGCTCGAGCGCAAGAATCTTCGTTCGAGCGATGAACTTTCCCTTACCAGAAAAAAACTACATTTGGAAAAGAAACCTGTAGACTCTCAAACCTCGCTCGAGCGAAGAAGCAAATTACACAAGGCTCGCTCGAGCGCAAGAAGCCTTGCTCGAGTGAAGAGGTCAAAATCTGGGCAATAACAATCTAAACCAAACTACAACCAACATGTTCCAAACTCGCCCAAAACGTTCCAAAACTCAAATACAAAGAGTCAAAGGGGAAGAACAAGACATTGATACAATATTCAACCACGGAACCCAAATCCGGGACACAATGAAGGTCGGGGCAAAACCGGGATCGCTATAAGGACTTTATTCAGATCTGCCTCCTCATGAAATTTGATCAGATAAAAGTGATTTCCTAAATCCAGCCCATGAATGGCACTGATAGGTTTCTAGATTACTTTCATTTTGGTTAAGAGGTAAGGGTTTCTGATTCTGTAGATTTCCGTAGGGGATAGGGAAATGGTATGATAGTCCCCCTCCTTATTTGCTTATTGGAATGGAGTTTCTGGTTTCGTGTTGAAGATGGTGCTAGAACCTCTTCGCTTACTGAGAATGGAGTTGTTAAGGTTTCTTTGAAGGTTCTGGTAGCTCCAGTGCTGCTAGTGTTGTCCTGTTGGTTTCTTATCGAAGCCTTTCCAATAGGATTTGTGTTGTGGTTCATTGAGATGCTGGTTGTTATGGAATGAACTATCGTCCCTGTTGATCCTGCTGCGGCTCTATGCTCTTAATCCATTACTTGTGCCTCAAGATCCCCCGATGTTGTCTTATGTACTCCAAGTTGGCTCTCCACAGATATTGCTGGTGTAGACTCAGTTGTTGTATTTTCTGTGTTGTCCATGAACCCATTATCCTTAGTCTTTGCCACCACTGTTGTTGACCTCTTCTCCTTCACCTTTGTCGTTGCTTTGTCCTTCTCCTTCACCTTCGTCGTTGCTTTCTCCTTCTCCTTTACCTTCATTTTATTTTTAACAAATAACAGTTTTCATTACTCATAATGAGGCCCATAGTGCAAGTCTTTCATATATGTTAGATTTGTATCCAAAAAAAAATAAATAAAAACAAAAACAAAAAAAGAAGTCACATATAAAGCATTTATTTCAAAATTATCCCACTCAAATGCTATTTTCCCTAAAATCAAATCCCTTCATTTTGCTAGTAAAAAAAAAGGGGGAAACAGCTCAATGTTTATTAAAATAAAATAAAAAATTATGTAGTACTTCAATTGGTTTCGTAATAAAAATAAAAAATAAAAAATATTTATTTTTTATTTTTATATAATTTTATCTTTTTAAAGAGAAAAAATAATTTTTAAAAACTTTGAAAATATAATTTTATATTTATTTTTGTCAAATAAATTTTTGCTTTAATAAAGAAGATACAATTTTTTTTTTTTTTTTTTTTTTTTTTATTCTAGTAGTTATACTTCCCAAAATAAAATAAAATAACATTTTTGAATAACGAGGATACATATAGTGATGATGAGACACAACACTCCCGAGCAGCAAATCCTTTCATTAAATACTGTCCAGCACCACTAACGCAACAACGAAACGTGTTTACAAAACACGCTTTCAGCATGTTTCTAATTCAGGCGCACAAAATAGATAAAATCATAAAAGCGTGGCTACAAAACACTCTTTTAATTAAAATTTTACTAATTATCGCATCAATTTAACAACTAAAAAAACTTATATAAAAATTCACTTCCCAAACACCTACTAAATGTGGTTGAGAAACATGTTTATGAAAACATGATTTGCAAACACGTTTTTAACTTTTTCTTTACAGAAAGGGATTGTATCTATACCTAGAAAGTTCCATTTGTTGTTTTATCATATAAGTTGTGTACTAGTCAAGAATTTTATAGAACTAAACAAGAAAAAGTTAAGGGTAAATTACACTGACATCCCCTGAGGATTATATTTAGTACAGTTCCACTCTCATCTTTTGAAAATTATATCTCCCTCCCTAAAATTTAAAGTTTCATTACAAATTATCCCTCTCAGTAATTTAATTTTTTTAAATACCAATTTTATCTTCACTGGGTAAATTACATTGACACCCCTTACATTTTAAAAATTACAATCCCCTCTCTAAGGTTTAAAGTAGCATTACCAATTGCCCCCTCGGTTAGTATTAATTGGAGAAAAAAATTCATTGAAAAAAAAAATTCATTGGAAAAAAAATTAATTGAAAAAAAAAATTTGTTAGTACAAATTTTAAATTTCTGTTTAAAAATCAACGTAAACTCATTTTTTGAATTTACATTTTTTTTCTCAAATTTACAAACTGAGACAATAATTTATAAATCAAAAAAATTATCAAACAAATTTTTATGACAGTTTTTTATATTTTTGTAAATGTAAATTGAAAACTAAAAATGAAATAATTACCAAACAAGTCTCAGATGGTAAAAATATCGTAAAATTAACAAATAATTAAATAAGTTACCAACGTAAGCCCCTATCTCTACTTATTTGGTAATTATTTCATTTTTAATTTTCAATTCAAAAATGTTTTACAACTCTAATAGGAGTTCTAATAGTTCTAATAGAATGTGGGTCATATTCTGATGTGATATTTTGATCTTATTTGTTTTTATTTTTTATTTTTTTAATTTTTTACCTCATTAAAATTCAATTAAAATTTTAATTTTAGAGGGATGAATCATAACCTCAAATAATTTCAAAACTTGCAAGTAGCATACATACACCCAATATATATAGCCTCCGTTTGGGAAGTGGGTTGGCTTTTTGGCTTTTTGGCTTTTTTAGCTATTTTAGCCTGGGCTAAAAAGTTTGGTTTGGGAAGGGCTTTTCGGTTTTTTGACTTTTTTGACTTTTTTTGTGAGAGAAGAGTGTAATGATTATGGGTTGGATGTGATGTTTTATTTTTTGTGGCTAAAATAGCCTATTTTGTCTTTTGTGGCTAAAATAGCCAAAAAAGCCCCAAACTCTTCTTGCCAAACGAACCCATAATCTCCAATGTTGCTCAACACGTGTCACAATACCATCCCCTGATGTCATGTCTCTAAAATAAAAAAATAAGTTTTAAAAAATGTGAACATATAATTTTATTAAAAATGATTTTTCTCCCAAAAAATCATTCCCCGAATCTCCTGTTTTTTTTTTTTTGTTCTCTCATTTACATCTGAAGAAGAGGAAGTCAAGAGAGAGAGGGAGAAAGAGAGAGGACAGGAGAGAGGAAAACAAAGAGAGAGAGAGAGGACCCTCTATTTTGCCGATCGCCCAGCCGATCGTCGCAGCTCGTCCGTCTCTGCCTCCGCCCGACCGCCGTCGCCTCCGCGTCTGCCTCTTTCTTCTTTTTCTCTTCTTCTTTCTTCTTTTTCTTTCTTTCTTCTTCTTCTTTTCTGATTGAACAAAAAAAAAAAAAATTTCAAAACGACGAAACGACATTATTTTTTAATTCTGAGGGATTCGGGGCCTTGATTTCGAGTTACTAATCACTTCTGTAATTTTATATTAATTTTTGTCAAATAATTTTTTTTTTAATAAAGAAGATTCAATTTTTATTTTTTAGACCGTGAAACCAAACATATCCAAAACATTCAAAACTGCAAGTAGCATACATACAGCTAATATATATAACCTCCAATGTTGCTCAACACGTGTCACAGTACCATCCCTTGATGTCATCTCTTAAATAAAAAAAGAATAATGCTTGGGACCCCTTTTGGGGTCACCCCTCAACCCCTTGTCACGTGGCGGGTGGCGATTGGAAGAGCAGGAAAAAAAAAAAAAAATGTAACCAATGAGAGAGGGTAGGGCGGCCGATGATCCAAATTCCATCCCCTGATGTCATCTCTTAAATAAAAAAATCTTGGATTAGGATGAATTAGGATCCTCTAGTCTTTGCCTCCTGCCACCACGAAAGCCAGAGCTTTCATTCGTCGTCCCCACTTCCTTCATATAAAACGCTCCCTTCTCTCTCTTCCCGCACTTAAAATCAAATCAAAAAACATATCCTTTTTTAAGTTAAATTCCCGGGATGAGCATCCATTACATTTCATAGCCATGACCAATCACAGCAGTCGGATCATTGCCCACACGTTTCCTTTCACTGCACTTGCACCTGCACCTCACAGTAATGCAATCAATCACGCCCACGCGCCACTACTCGCACGACTGTTCTTGGCGGCGGCGGCACCACCTTATGCGGCCGCGCAGATGAGTTTGGGTTCTCCATCATCTTCGAATTCTCCTTACACCAACTCCGATTCGTCAACGGCGATCGTCATCTTGGTCCTTGTTTGCGTCATGTTCTTCATCTGCGTCTTCTCCATCTACATCCTCCACTGCATCAACGACACCGCCACGGAAGCAAATTCCGTCAACTCCATCGCCGCCCGATTGCGGCGGTTCCCGCGCGGCCTCGATCCGAAAGTAATCGAGTCGTTCCCGATTTTTCCCTACTCGGAGATCAAAGACCACAAGATCGGCAAAGGAACGCTAGAGTGCGCGGTGTGTATAAACGAGTTCGAAGACGACGAGACTCTCAGATTGCTTCCCAAGTGTGATCACGTGTTTCATTCTGAGTGTATTGATGCTTGGTTGGCTTCTCACAGCACTTGTCCTGTCTGTCGAGCGAACCTCGTGCCCACTCCGACTCCGACTCCTCCGGAGAAGGTAAATCAATCGAATGAATCGATTGATGAGCACAATTTCAGATCTGAACTCAGTGAAGTAGTACAAAACGAGAATCAAATTTCAATTTCAGTTAATGTTGAAGAAGAAGAAAATCAAAACAGAGATCCGGAAGCAAGTGAGTTTCCAAAGCAGAATCGAGAGCGAGTGGCGAAGTTTCAGAGGTCGCACTCGACGGGTCACTCACTGGTTGGACTCGGAGAGAGCTGCGAGAGGTACACGCTGAGGTTGCCGGAGGAAGTGAGGAAGCAGATCGTGATGAGTGGGAGGCTGAAGAGGACCAGGAGTTGCATCGTTGTTTCGCCGATGGAAAGGGGTAGTCGGGGCCGGCCCGATTGGGTTGGGAGGTTGGACCGGTGGGTTTTTAGCGTGACGCCGCCGTTTTTCTCGAAGAACAACCGTTCGAAGGTGGGGGTTGACGGAGACGTAACAAAGGTGTGACGTCTGTGAAGACGCAGTTTGGCTGTCTCGCCGTGAAGGGTGACGGAGTTGAACAATTAGCGGCTCCCCTTCCTGTTTAATTTAAGGGGGATGCACCAATAAATCCCAAATTAATAACTTATGCACTGTTTAGTCCTAAAAATTTTCTTATAGACTGAAAGGTCTTATTACAATGTTAATAACATCAGATACAATGTTAATAACATCAGAGTCATGTTACAAACATTGGATTTCAAACATCTAATGTTCATCAAATTTCAATAATGTTTGAAAATATAGGATGAAAAACATCTAATGTTCATCAGATTTCAATAAATTTTGAAATTATAGAATGAAACATCAGATCATTTACATCATTCACATCATGTTGATGTAAAAATGGGACTAAATGGAGCATAAGAAAACTTTTAGGACTAAATGGTTCAACGTTTCAAAAACTAGGACTTATGGGTAAATTTTCCTTAATTTAATATAGTATTTATTTCATTAAAATACATTTTTTATTATAATTTTTAAGGTAAATTACAGTTTCACATTAGTCCAGTTGGCAACCGCAGTACCATACAGCCTACGTTTGGCAAGCTGGGTTTGGAGTTTTTTTTTTGTTAAAATAATTATAAAAATAAAATAAATTTTTTAATCTAATAAAATAAAATATCACATTTAATTTATAGGAGTGAGTAACGGATATATCGATTTGCCAAAATCGATCAAACCGAACCGATCCGTCGAATTTTGGACGAATGCATGATGACGAGCGGATGGTTGCGGATTAATTTTCTCTAATCCACCAATCTGGCGGACGGATGACGGATTTGAGATTCCTTTGGCCGCAACTGAACTGTCAAACCGCGAGCATCCCTAATAATTTGTAAGACTTTGTGTTTTTAGTTTGTTTAAATATGCTGTTTGTGTTTTCAATTAAAAAAGAATTTAAATATTCTGTTGAAAAAAAATTTTCAACTTGAACATCTTTTTTGAATTGAAAAAAATAAACGTATTATTTATCTATATTTTTTAGTATTTAAATCTATATCTAAAAATAATAAATAGAAAATATGATATACGTTGGTTGATTTTTGTTTTCAAAAACAGATATAGATGTAACAATATAGAGACATATAATCTCTACTACTGCTCTGTTCATAATTTTGGTGGTTTGAATTGTTTTTATATTTTAAGAACCATATATTGTAATACTTTATATGGATGAGGCATGCTGTGATTGTAGTATGTAGATGAGGCATGCAGTGATATTCTAAAGTTTCAAACTTTCTTGTTTTGGATAAGGCATACAATGATTGTAATATTTTTTTAAGTCATTGACCGTAATAGTTTCTTCTTTTTTTCTTTTTTTTTTTTTTTTTTGAGGAAGTGTACAAGTTGAATTATGTTGAAAATTTATAAAATTTTAAACCGTCAAACCGATTTGCATCCATCCGCCAAACCGCCAATCCGCTCAATCCATATCCGTCGGATTGGCGAACAGATGCGGATTGATTTTCTCCAATCCGCCAATCTGGCAGGCGGATAACAGATTAAAGGTTCCATGGCCGCAACCGACCCGCGCTCACCCCTACCAACCGATAATTATTACATTCTTTCTCTCACAAAAAAGTCAAAAAAGCCACAAGTCCTTCCTAAACCAGGCTTTTTAACCCCAGGTTAAAAGAGTCAAAAAAAGTCAAAAAGTCAATCCATTTTCCAAACGAAGCCAAAAATTTAAAAAGAAAAAGAAAAAAAGAGTAATGTATAATCTTAAAGCATCTCCAGTGCATTGCTAAAATAGTTGTTAAAGCCATAGTGAGTGTTTGGGAAGTAAGTTTTTTTTGTAGGTTTTTTTAGTTGTAGGATATTATTGGAGAAATTTTTTTTGTGTGTTTAGGAAGATAATTGGGTTTTTTTATGATTAGATGTGATGTTGGTGAGAGCAAAAAGTGAAATGATTATAGGATTTGATGTGATACTTTGCTTGGATTTATTTTTTTTTATTTTGTAACCAATTTGTCTTTTAGTGAAAAAAAAATCAAAAAACTATGTTTCCAAACAGCGCCTATGTGACAACTTGAGCAAAAATGACTTCTCCAATAGCATGCTATAGCAGCTGCCAAATTTGACAACTGGTGACAAATTTGGCACCAGCTTTGGCAGCTGCCAAATCTGCTAGGTCATCCAAAAACCAATTGCTTTCTTCATTCCCTTTTATTAGGTTGGGCCTTTTCCAGAACAACCCTACAAAAATGTTTGGAGTTTTATTTTATTTTATTTTATTTTTTTTTAAATCAAAATTCACCATTTTTTTTAAAAAACATAATTCACCAATTTGTTACTTTAAGGTGTGTCCAAAAAAAAAAAAACAATATACCAAATTTACCAATTTCTTTATACAAATTTGGCAAATTTTTAATTTTTTTTTATTTTTTCGGTTAACAAAATTCACCAAATCTCAAGCAAACAACAACAATCTCATGCAAAGATCTCAAAATCTGAAGGAAATTTAAATAAAAAAAAATACCTAAATTTCAATATGCTTAAAAGTTTGGGTTTGTGATATGCGATTTGCGAAGAGGGTTGTGAATAAGGCTTCTTCATTTGCGATCTGCGAAATATCTCCATGATTTGTGATATTTGTTTTCATCTGCTTTGTGATATGCAAAGAGGGGTTTGTGATCTTTTATCTCGTCGACTGATGTTCACTGTAAAGAGATGAAAGAGATTGAGAGAAAGAAAGAGGTGGGATGTTGACAACCGAGATGAAAAGAAAGAGAAAGAAATATGAGGGTTCTTTGGGGGGGGTATTTCAATGTATTTTTTAATGTTAATTTATTTTAATTTTTTATATTTGTCTAGTCGGGTAAAAAAGTTAATTTTTTTATTATTTATCAAAAGTTATTTTTTAATTTTGCAATGTCATTTCTTTTTTAATGTAATTTTAAGTATTTTGTATTTAAATTTATGGGTGAATTATATTTGGAAATTTTTTAATTTTTTTCATTTTTTATATTTGTCTAGTTGAGTATAATGTAAATATATGATATTATTATTTTTTTACAAACAGTTGAAAAAAGCTCACAAGAGACAAAAAAATAAACAAAAAATCTATATTCAAACAACACTTACAAATTTAGAGGAAAAATTGGCTGAGATTTGCCAAAATAGCATGTAACTATTGGAGCACCATTGCTATAATTTGATAAAATAACACTATTCATTATCAAATTATAACAACGGCAATGCTATTTTAGCAAATATCATTGAAGTTGCTCTTAGCATTTAAAAAAAATAAATTTTGAACCCTTAGTTTAAATTCAAATTCAGATTCAAATTTGCATCCAAGCTCAACCCAATTGTACCAAATACCCACAATTCATCTTTTCCACTTGTATAATGACATCTCCAACATTTAACCAAATTCATCACCAAAGTTAAATTTGATGAAAAAATATACTTTTTTGGTCTCTTATGGTTTCATCAAACTTGTATCAAATTAAGAACATCTCACATCTTTCATCAAACTGAGGATGTTTTGCACCTTTAAGCAATTTACTATGCATAGGCGTTGAGTGTGGACCCATCGGACAACCGGCTGAATGTCCCCTGAATGACCACCTCAAGACATAATTTGTGAAAAATTTACATTGATCAGTCAACCTTTAGTCGGCCACCTCTACATCTTTTTTTGAGGAAACAAACTCAGTGAGGAAAAAAGTGAAGGTTGAACCTTTAAGCTACATAGTTCAACAAATGAATTTCCATGCTCATTGTTCATACAAAATAAATGAGGAGTTCAGCCACCGAGAGCTTTAAACAGAATATTGAAAATAAAAATAGAAAAGTGAAGAACTGGACAAAAAAAGAAAAGCTTGCAGGTCTTGCAGCAAAGTTTCTAATTGAGCATGTAAAATATAGAAATTAATTAATCATATATATTGACATTATCAGATTTCATTGATATTTAGTAGTCGAGAAATGAGGCTTTGGAATTGTAGTAGGAGCCAAGAGAGGCCTATTCAAATTTTGCAATTTGATGTTTTACTAACCATGGTCTTAGAGTGAAACAATAACAGAAACAAAGATGGAAAGAAAAAGCAAGAGTGAGAAATTGGAAGTAAGTAATGGCGTGAAGTGAAGAAATAATTGGAAAAGGGTACCTAGCAAAGAGGTAATTAAAGAGGGCAGTTCTGGCGCTTCTGACGTGAAGATTACTGGTGAGTGAAGGAACAAGGCGAAGGAGCATCGAACTTGTCCTCCATCATCAACAACCGTCTTCTTCTTCTCTGTAGGAGGAGGAAGAGGAGAATTTACAGATGATGCTGAGATTGAAAAACTCAATCTTCTCCGAAAAAGAAAGAATACTCTGTTGTTAAATGTGCAAATTGACCATACAAGCTTGAAAGTGATATAGCCAGTTTCACCAAGACTCCTTTCATTATAGTTGCTGGTCGATCGACCGGTCATCCCCTCGGTCGACTTCTGTTTTAATGATAACTACAAATTTACCATTGGAGTGGTTGGTATTAGATAAAGGAATTCGTAATTTTTTTTACTCAGATTTGATGAAATATTTGTTTGGTGTGTATTTCTGAAAATTTTTTGGGAAATTTTCTCTACAAATAAGTTTTTAAAAGTAATCAAACCAAACCAAACAAATTTTCCCAAAAAAATTTCTCAAAACTTGTAAACCAAACAAATTTTCCAAACAAATCTCTCTATCACACACATCAAATCAATCACTTTTTCTAAAACTCTCTCTCAAAATAATTTTCCAAAACATCTTTTGAAAAAAACCAAACCAAATAACTTTTCATATTTTTTATCTCTAAAACACATCTCCCAAACACAAACCAAACATACCCTTAGTGAAGCATTTGAGATGCCATAACCCCTTCTCTCTCATCTTCTTCTCCTATTATTGGTTGACCACTCCATTCTCAAAATCACCATTAAAATTTTATCTTCTACTTGAACAATTATCGACTTGCGTTCCTGTTTAATTTGATATAGTATTTATTTATTAAAATACATTTTTTTAGTTATAATTTTTAATGTAAATTACAGTTTCACATTAGTCCAATTGGAAACTGCAGTACCATAAAATTGAAAAAAAGAAAAGGAAAAAAGAATGAGGGATACTTTTAGTATTTTAAGAAATAAATTTTGAACTTTGACCTTTCAATTTAAACTCAAACTAGCATGTCACCCATACTATACACAGGATAAAATAATATATTATTTATTAAAAATATGATAATTATATATTAATTTTTTGTATTTTGTCTCTCATAAATAAAATTTTATATATGAGTGTAAGATTTTTGTTTCAAATGTTCCTTTGCTATAATATATAGTATAGATAGATTAAAATTGTTGTATTGACAATTAACAATTAACATTATGCTTTGTTATTAAAAAAAAAATGACATAGTTCTAGTACTTCACTATTTTAGAATAAAAATATATGAATTTAAAAAAATTGTTATATTGATTTTTGAAAGGAAAATAATAAAAGAAAATTTAAAAACTTAATGAGTCAGAAATAATTATCGTAATATGTAATTTAAAATATCAAGAAAAAAATTAAAAATGAATAAAGATTTTAAAAAGATGTGAATAAAATTAAAACTAATGCCATATTTATTAATAAATATAATTTTATTTGGATATCTATTTATACTTTAACATGCTTATTTAAAACAAATATAAGAATAAATAAAAATATTAATAATTTTGAGTGTTAAAATATGATTTTGTAGACTTGCTATATTAACTTTTGGAAGGAATATATTGGAATTGTTTTACAAAAATTGAATATTAGTCATTGACATGGATAGGCCTATAAGGCTTACAGCCCACAGCAAACAACCCCAAACCCATCGCTTGGGACCCATAGCATAACCCGGCTGGCAAAGCCCAGGACAGCTGGAG